TGTGCATTTTGGGGGTTCCTATATTTATTTAGGACCATGGTGGCCCACAGGTTAAGACACTGAGCTGCAGACTGGAAGGTCTGTAGCTCAGCAGTTCCGAGACCCTAGTGCCATGTGATGAAGTGAGCTCCTGTCTATGGCCCCAGCTCCTGCCAACCTAGCAGTTCGAGAGCAAGAAATTGCAAGTAGATCATAGAATCATAGAATGTTAGAGTTGGAAGGGACTTTGCAGGTCATCTAGTCCACCTCACTGCACTCTGCAGGAGCATAGCTGAAAGATAGCCCTAAAACATGCCCGAAAGATGGTCGTCCAGGCTTTGCTTGAAAACATCCAGCGAAGGAGCATCCACCACCTCCCGAGGCAGTCTGTTAAATAGGTTCCACTTTGGTGGGAAGGTTCCTTGTGCCTCAGCGTTTAGTCATGCCAGCCACATGACCACGGAGAAGTCTTTGGACAGTGCCTGCTCTTTGGCTTGGAAACGGAGATGAGCACAGCCCCCTAGAGTCGGATTTGATTGGCTTTCAAGCAAGGGAAACCTTTACCTTTACATATTTATTTATTTAAAATTAGATATTTATGAAAAAAATATTTATATACCGGTCTTTCTCAGAACCCAAGACACATAAATTAAAACAATAAACATTAAAGCTGCAAGTAAGAAATGCATTAAAACCAGATTACAAACCAATCTAAACATGCATGATTCTCCACTAACAGGATATTCTGCCATCACCAGGGATCAGACTGAAGAAGAAGAGACTGGATTTATACCCCACCCTTTACTACCCAAAGGAGTCTCAGAGCGGCTTACAAACTCCTTTCCCTTCCCCTCCCCACAACAGACACCCTGTGAGGTAGGTGGGACTGAGAGAGCTATGACAGAAACTGCTCTTTTTCAAGAACAGCTATGCCAGAACTTTGGCTTGCCCAATGTCATCCAGCAGGTGCAAGTGGAGGAGTGGGGAATCAAACCTGGTTTTAACCACTACACCAAACTTGCCCAAAAGCTCTCCAGAATAGCTCTGTCTCACAGCCTTGCCAGAAACCAAGGACAGCAGAAGCCAGAAACCTCTTCCAGAAGCCATGGGGCAGCCACTGAAAAAGCCTGAGCCCAGATCACTACACAACATGCCTTAGGCAAAGTGGGTACCAACCCCAGACCTGGCTGGGCAGAATAAAGATGCCACATGGGAGCATGCAGGGAGGGAGAAGCAGTCCTTCAAGTATGAGGGCCCCACTCTCATGAAGGGCTTTAAAGCCATACAAACCCCCTCCCCTTACAGACATGATTTTGAACAATGTGTGGTGGCAAAACTGGGAAACATTCCCCCCCCAAAGACGGCTGTGTCTGTCCATGGTAACCCCCCCCCCCTTAAAACAACCACCTCCCTTGCTTATTTTGTCTAAAGAATGTATGACTAGAGCACATACACCCAGGGCAAACTGAAGACTGGTTGAAGGAATAGCCATTCTAGTTAGCAATTGGGATGGAATGATCAGATAACCACACATTAATTGCTATTAGAAGCAGCACACAACATATTGGTGCTTGAGGCAGAGATCAAAAAAGCATCTATTACAGGACTTGACAAATCCTGGGCACCAGGTCGTCACTGCATCGAGAAATTTCACTGTGATACCGTATTTTTTGCAATGATTTCACTGAAGTGTCTCTCAATGAGCTTATTTATCATTTTACATCAAATGTTTTGTTGTATGGCATAAATATACAGATGCATGAAACTCCTGTCATTGCTTATTTATATGTTAATTTTTGCACTGTTCAGTGCTGGTAGATTAATTTATCTCTTAAACAGGTACTTTCTGTACTGGCTCCAATATTCAATTAAATGGAGCTTTCAAAATGATAGCTAAATAATCAGAAATAGGGGAGATGTAAGGCTAGGGTTAGGGATTTTATTGTAGCAATGACAACCATCCCTATCTCTATTTATACTCAACACTTTTGTCACAGCTTTAATAAAATTATGAGAAACTGTGAAGAGGTTAAGATGAGGTTTTGTGGTAGCAATAACTAGAAAATCTGGGAATTAATATAAGAAACTGAAAAGCATGCTTGGCTCCTAAACTTTTGGTTTGGATTCCACAGCCAAAGAAAATTTGACAAGACCTGATGTATTAAGATAGCTAGCGCTGAAAATAAGCTACTCTTTAATGGTACCCCCCTCCTCCAAAGCTGACACTTGAGGCAGGTTGTTTCACCCTATCTTGTGTGTGAGAGTACCGGACTAGGACCAAGGAGACCAAGGTTCAAATCTCCACTCAACCATAAAGCTCACTCGGTGATCTTAGGCCGGTCACACACTTTCATCCTAACCTAATCTCACAGGGTCCAAGCCTATCTCTATTTATACTCAACACTTTTGTCACAGCTTTAATAAAATTATGAGAAACTGTGAAGAGGTTAAGATGAGGTTTTGTGGTAGCAATAACTGGAAAATCTGGGAATTAAATATAAGAAACTCTGAAGACTGAAAAGCATGCTTGGCTCCTAAACGTTTGGGTTGGCTTCCAGAGCCAAAGAAAATTTGACAAGACCTGATGTATTAAGATAGCTAGCGCTGAAAATAAGCTACTCTTTAATGGTACCCCCCTCCTCCAAAGCTGACACTTGAGGCAGGTTGTTTCACCCTATCTTGTGTGTGAGAGTACCGGACTAGGACCAAGGAGACCAAGGTTCAAATCTCCACTCAACCATAAAGCTCACTCGGTGATCTTAGGCCGGTCACACACTTTCATCCTAACCTAATCTCACAGGGTCCAAGCAGACAAAATGGAGAAGGGGGAACTTACATATGCAACCAAGAAATCCTTGAAAGAAGGGTAGGATAAAAATGCAACGGCCAGCCTTCATTGTAGGAGTGAGCATGTTTTGATTCTAGTGCAACACAGCAGGGCCTATTTACGACATTACGCCAAGAAATCCTTGAAAGAAGGGTAGGATAGAAATGCAACAAATTAAGTAAATATTGGTAGGGCCAGCCTTCATTGTAGGAGTGAGCTTGTTTTGATTCTAGTGCCACACAGCAGGGCCTATTTACAACATTACAAGACCCTTCTGGCCACCATGCGTGCTGAGAATTCTGTACTTCAAATACGGATGCCAGGTACAGATGGGCCAGATTTTGATTGGTGCTGTGGCACACAGAGGGGCTTAAGTCTTTCCCCTGCAGTTTTTCCTTATCTGAAATAGTTTTGGGTGCCAGTCTTTGCCCCACTTGGGAAGATGAATACAAAATTATGGCTTCACACAAGTTTCCCCATCAGGGCAAATTACTCCCTAGTCGGGCTGCCAGCTCTGGGTTGTGGGATTCCTGGACATTTGGGATGGAGTCTGGAAAGGGTGGAGTTTGGGGAGGGGATGTGATGTCACAGCTGCCCCAACTGGAGGTTGGAAAACCTACTTCTCAGGCAGCGTTGCTAACCTCCAGGTGCAGCCTGGAGATCCCCCAAAATTACAACAGATCTCCAGACAACAGAGATCAGTTCCCCTGGAGAAAATGGCTGCTGTGGAAGGTGGACTCTATGGCATTATACCCGCTGAGGTCCCTC